CTCTGGTGAATAAGGAGCGGTAGTTTGATGAATAATGCCATGTTCTCTACAGAATTCATCAAAAGGTTCATCATATTCTCCTCTTCTACCACTTCGAACTATTTTAATAGTTTTATTAAGTTGGTTTTCCACTTCCAACTTATATTCTTTGAATTTCTCCAAAGCTTTATTTTTACTGCATAGTAGATATACATAACAGTATCTTGTGCAATCATCTATGAAGGTTACAAAATACTTCTTCCCACCTCTACTTTGCACATATTTTAAGTCAAATAAATCAGTGTGAATTAAACTTAGAGGTTCAGTTGTTATTTCCACGTTAGGTGATGGTGTTTTAGTGAGTTTAGCTTGAACACAAATCTCACATTTGTCTTTACTTATTTTGTGTTTAGGAATCATTTTCATGTTCATCAATCTACTCATAGTTTTGAAGTTAACATGTCCTAAACGTTCATGCCATAAAGTAGAAGACTCAAACAAATAAGCAACTGGTTTTTTATTCTCATTCATCTTCGAGGTGGAAGCTTTGGTTACAACATCGCTGCGAATAACAGCTTCAACACATATCTTAAAAAGACCATCACTAACAAACCCTTTTCCCAGATACATCCCTTTTTTTGGATAGCACCATCTTATCCGCATCTAACTTAACAATGAATCCATGCTTACTCATGTGAGATCCATAGATCAGATTCTTGCGCATGTCCGGCACGTGGACCACATTTTTCAGGGTGAGCTCACGTCCAGAGGTAAGCTTCAGAACAACTTTCCCATAACCTTCAATCTTTGATTTCGCAGAGTTTCCCATAAAGAGCTTCTCATCACTCTTGTTCTTGGTGTAGGCAGAGGACATTGACCTGTCCAAGCAAATGTGCCTGGTAGCTTTAGTATCAAACCACCAAGTCTTGGGATGGCTCTCAGCAACATTTGCCTCAGTGATCATCGCGCACATGTCTGGATAGGCGAGATTAACTTCATTTTTCTTTGGATTTTTTTGGCTGCGACACTCAAAGCATTTGTGGCCTGTCTTTCCACAATTGTGTCATGTTCCAGCAAACTTTTGTGAGCTTTCGCCACCACCAAACTTTTTCTTTTTGAACTTCTGTGAGTTCTGTGGTGATAATTTTCCTTTTCCTTTGTCTTGGCGTCCTTTGTTCTGGCGCCCTTTGTGTTGGTGTTCCACCACATTCGCATTGGGTTTGCGAATTTCCACACCTACTCCGTGGGTTCTTTTGGTTAGTTGACTCCATACGGAGCTTCATGGTTAGGTCTTCAAGACTCATCCACTTCTTCAGCTTCAGATAGTTTTTGAAGACCATCCAGTTAGGTAGAAACTTCTCAATGATACATGCGACCTGATAGGTCTCACACAGCCTCATCCCTTCAGCATGGATTTCATGGAGAAGAGTTTGTATCTCTCCCACTTGATCCATTATTGGTATGGAATCCACCATTTTGTAATCTAGAAATTTTGCCACAACGTATTTCTAAGATCCAACATCTTCCCTGCGATACTTCTTGTCTAGAGAATCCCATAGTTTTTTAGACGTCTCAACATTGCTATACACGTTGAATAGTGAATCAGCAAGACGACTCTTGATACAAGCACAGAGCTGTCAATGGCATATATGACTTCGGATAAACAGATCTTCAAGCAGCGGATTGATAGAACAATTTTGGGTGGATCGAAGAACGCCACTCAAGGGTGTGAAAACCCTTGTGATGAGTTCACAACCCTAGTCTCAAGGAATCTCACACAAGAGACATAGATTTAATGTTTACTAAGTAAAAGAATCCCACCTAACTTAGATAAACAAAAACAAAGCCTAAGCTTTAGAGAGAAAACTATTTCTTTCTATTTTTCCAAAAATCTGTATATAGTTTTACAATGACAAGTGATGAGGTTTTATAGGCTCATTTACAAGACCTTCAAAGTCAAAGAAATTAATTACAAGAGAAAATTATGCACAATTTAAATAAAAAAGAGGAGAAAAAATCAGCTAAATTAACTTTATGGTCTTCTTTCACCAATTTAGCTATCAGATTTAATGGAGATGAATACTTTGTATCTAGACAACTTCTTGATATATCCATGATCTGATTTTCTTATAGAAAGTTCTTGAGATTTTGGGCTTGATTTGAATTGGATCATTTGTTGATAGATCAAAGATGTGATTGCTGTTATCATGGTTGCATCAACTCTGAATGTATCCTTTGCACAAGAAGTCTCTGTGTCCATGCTAACTTGCTTGCAAGTGCATAAGCATCATCATTATCTGAGGAGAGAATAGGTTTCTCTTCACAGGTGTACTTCTCCAGCTTAAGTGTGGCCAAATAGAAGAACATCTTCTTCTGCCACATCTTAAAGTTGCTGCCATCAAACCTGTCGGGAAGGCCAGCTACTGGAGTTACAGCTGGCATCTGAACAGATTGATATTGTCCAGTGACCGCAGTTTGGACAGTAGCAGAGATCGGAGGCGGGATAACCACAATCACTGGTGGGAAAGTCCCAAACTGGATCTGTTCAGTCCCAACAGTGGTAGTGTGATCAATTGAGGAGACATTGAGAGTTTCGTTTTCCATTTCTGAAATGAAACACAATCCGCAGATATAATATGTATACTCAACACAATTTTCAGAATAAAAACGAGTTTAAAAGTATACAATTTAAAATATTATATGTATATTATTTATAAAATCCAACTCAAATCGCTATCAAATAAAATCGATAAACACCACAACCATGCATTTATTATTTCAAACCTCCAATGAGGGTTCGATCACAGGTGGGTTATGATTAGAGATGGAGAATAATAAAAAAAAAAACGTTTAAAGAAAATACTCGTATCCAATCCGTTCAATGTTTAAATAACAAGAACGGATTTAAAGAGTTAAGAGTGTAGGACCAAAATATTGAACACCACAAATAGCAATTGAAATACGAGAATAGAAAATAAACGTTAAGGTAAAGATAAACGAGTGGAGGCGAGACTATGATCTCTTTCCTTAACTCTTTGAATCGCCCGTAGTGCGACAGGTTTTTGTGATACAAGAGTCGCAGGATACAACCACAACTATCCGTTTTCAGAAGCACTTAGAAACACGGATCTACAAGAACTAATTCTACTATACTCTCGGCAGAGGACTTACGAAAAATAAAGAGGGAGAAAGAGAGAGACTGTTGCGAAAATTTCAGATTAGAGAATGAGAGGTGAAGTTGTAAAAAAATGAGAGGAGAAGTCGTGTATATATAGCGGAGGAAGAGACTTGAGGAGTCTTCAAAATCCCACAGAATCCACGAGTCAAACACGAATATCGGCCATATATTTAGCGAAGTCAAAGGAAAAAAATCAGCAATGTGTGATTAATCACAATCTATTACGTTTTTGTGGGGATAATGAATATCCAATATTCTTTTGACTGAATCAAAACATATGCAGAAAGTCAGAATAAAAACATTGACCAAACGCTCATGAAAATATGGCCCAAAAAGAATACCCACCTTAGACCCGAAGGCCCATTTGACCAACACGATCCGCGCCGAGCCCAGCCCGGCTTGGCTTGGCGGCAGCGGTGGTGGCGGCACGCGCATGGGGCTTATTCTTTTCTTCTCATATGTTATTTGAACATGTATGAAGCATATCTTAATATATAATAGAGCTTCTCTCAACAAACCATCGATGTGGGACAACATCACTTACAAAATCACTTCATTTCCTCTTCACCCTTACTGGGCTTAAAAAATTTGGCCCAACACTTAGCAGTGTCGCTGGGGTCGCGGTGGAGGAAGGTGTCCTCCATGGGTCGTGCCTCTCTTCTGTCTGCCTTGACGGGTCTTCGCTGCTTCTTCCTTTGCTCTCCGACGATTTTTTAAACGGATGCTCTGATTTCTTTTTAGGGCCTCCTCCGACGGCGTGCACTCTGTCCTTCTTGGTGTTTGGGTGGTAGTCTTTTTCCTCTCTCTCTCTCCCCAATTATGGTCTCACTCATGCTTCGGGTTTTCCGACGCGGCGGCAGGATAGCGTTTAGAGATCTGGCCTCCTCAGCTCTGATGACGGTGTTCAGAACCTTGAGGACTGGTTCAGCCTCCGTTTTTGGTGTGTAGGTCGGCTTGTGTCTGGTGGCAAGCTTCATAGTGGTGGCTCACGCCTTTCCGGCGGGTGTGGCTCCACCACCGGTGTGTCTCAGTGGTGACTTTAGACGGGTGGCTCGGCGTTAGCTTTCATCGGCTTTGACAGTTTATGCTTCGTTGCTGTCTTCCACATCGGTGTGGCACGGGATACCCAAAGGTGTGTGTTTCCAAAAAATGTGTAGTTGGCCCGCGTTAGTGTCTCAGAACTCGTTTCGTGTTGGCTCCGGGTGGGGTCTGGTGTTGATGGTGGAGCAATGCTCGACGTGATTATTAAGGCGCCGGTTTGTTGTTGCGGCTTGCTTGTAGCTGTGGGAGCTGGTTCTTGCGGAGATTCGTTTTTGTGGGAATAGCGGTCTGAGGTGACGCTTTGACTGCCTGCTCGGCCTCTCTTGTCGACGGTTGCAAACTTGTCCGTTACGGAAATCAGAAATCCCATTAATTCTCGGAGAAGCTGTAGGTGTCCCCTTAAGAGGTTTGAGGGCTGACCTCGGGTTGATGCTCGTGGCAACAATGATAAAAGTTCTAGTTCTTCGGGGCTATAGCAAAATGAGATGGTCCGCGTTAAGGTGTGTGATTGCTGCGTTCTCGTTTGGTATTGTTTCGGTTTTAGTTTTTTAATTTCTCAAGCCGTTTTTCTTAATCTTATGATGTGGTTTGCTGCGTATTTATCGTTATTTCATAGTTTTTTTAATCTGTTTCTTTGTATTTTTTGTAACTTTTGTCAAAAACCCAAAAATTGATAATATAATTTTTACATTTTATATAAAAAAAATTTATTAAGTTCAAATCACTCGCGGCCGCAATTAGAAACAATAGTTAAGCTCTCAGCCCATTTAGCATAAAAGCCCAATAACCAACAAGGCCCACGATCCAGAATCGTCAATTCTAACGCTACCTACAATGACGATGCCCGGGTCTTTTGTGATCAATGATAACAAATGATAACATAAACTTGACTTCAACTTTCTCCTTTCTTGTCACTGTCACCTTCACCGAGAAGCTTCCCTGCAACAGTCAAGATTTACAGAGAAGGCTTTCAGTTTCACAAGAAAATTATATTAATTAAGACAATTATGATAATCAGGAAAGTAACCACGGTTCATGGATTAATCTATGAGAGCTTGTAGTTTGAGTCAAAAATGTAGTGGATATAGTTCTTTGCGTTTATCTTAAACAGCAAGAAGAAAGATCAGAGGTTTTGCTCCACCTTTTAAAGACGGAGTTTCTTTCTCGGCTTGTGGGAAAAAGTGTTTGGCTTTGTGTGCTACTTCGGCTTCAAGAACTGCCTCCAGCACTAAATCAGATCCTCTTGCACTCTCTGCAACCAAATGAATTAAGAGATAAAGTTTCTGTCTTTTCACTCAAACCAAAACATGGTCCAAAACATTTATTTCTACCTTTGCGATTAGGGAGAAACTTTGCCATTTCAGCTGAAACTGGAAGAACAGGCAAGAGACTTGAATCACTGCTTAGAGTACGTATGACTTTTACCATTGACTGTTGGTGGTACGCTCCGTTCCCCGGTTCGGACCGGTTAAAGACCGAGACCGGCCCAATTGATCCCGGTTTACGACAGTTTTGGCCGAAATGGGCATGGCCTGACAGCACGGCCCATAGGAGAAAAAGCCCAGCGACAAGAGGCGGTGAGAGCTGAACGAGAAGCCCTAGAACTTCTCCTCGTTTATGTACTATAAATAGTGGAATTGTTACCGTAGAAAGGATCTTTTTCGGACCCGGAGAATAGAGACCTGAATATTGTATCGAGTTCATCGAGAGACCTCCGAACTGAACGAACTGTAATTGAGAACTTAATAAAATATAACCAATTTAATCTTCCGAACTCGAATTACCAAACCGACCTCAGATAGTTGAGAACCACAATCAACAATTGGCGCCCACCGAGGGCCGATTCGGTAATCGACCTCGAAGACATGACGACCGATGATGGACAACCGACCTCAGTCCAGGTCGGGAGTCAAATGACCTGTGCAGACGATCCCACCCAGATTGGAGGACATACAGGGGAAGACGAACACAGCCCCGTGCGACCTCAACCTGGAACACAACAAATCAGGGCAGAGCCGAGCTCAAGCATCGGGGCTCACCAGGCTTCGCCAGCTGCCTTCGATCCAACCGCACTCATGAACGCTTTCGCTGCTCAGATGCAAGAGCTAGTCCGAAGCAATGATGCCAAATTCGCGACTCTCACCGCGCAGATCTCTAGCCTGCAACAAGAGAGCCCGCTCCGACGACGGAACCTCATCAGCGACTTTCAGGGAGAGCGAGACCCGTAGTGCACGGTGGCACGGTCGGTAATACAGCAACAGCAACAGTCCGAAAGCCCGTCCCAGCACGTACGAGCTCATCCGATGGCGCGCGACCTGGAAATCGAACGGATGCAGGCCCAACTGCGAGAGATCAGTTCCAAATTTCACCAAGCCACCAGTTCGGCACCTAAAATTGACCGCGTAATCCAGGAAGCACAGAAAACACCGTTCACTTCTCGGATTACCAACGTCCCCTTCCCTAACCTAGAAAAGTTTAAACTACGTTCATACGAAGGGAACTCGGACCCGAGGCATTTTCTTACTTCGTTCGGCATCGTGATCAACCGACTAAAGTTCACCTTGGCCGAGCAGAAGGACGCGATCCAATGCCAACTGTTCGTTGAACACCTCGAAGGCATAGCTTTGGATTGGTTTTCAAGATTAGAAGCTGACTCCATTGATAACTACAAGGAGCTTTCAACTAAGTTCGCAAAGGATTTCTCGATGTTCATCGGGCAGAAAACCCGTAACTCCGAACTGTGGGAGATATCACAGGGTGAAAATGAATCACTCCGAGACTTCATGGCATGCTTCAAGCAGATCGTGGCGCACTGCACGGTGGACGACGAAGCCGCTCTCGAAGCTTTATACCAGAAAACATGGAACAAATCGCCTTTCCATAAAGAGCTTTGCAGGAACAGACCCCTCACCCTTGAGGACGCGCTCCACAAATCAAACATCTTCAAGAAGAAGAAGAAGAAGCCGCCAAAGACCGGCAGTATTCAGCGTCAAAGCCCGGCCAGACCTTGACCACCAAAGATAATTTGGAAACGAAAGTCCAGTCCGGCAAACCACGCGGAGTAGTTAACCAGGCAGGACCGTCAAACCAAAAGTCGGGACGGCCACTGAAATCTTGGAACACGTGGAATAGAGAAGACGATACGCCGCTAAATGAACGTTTTTGCGAGTATCACGAGCGATATGGGCATAGCACGGAGGAATGCCGACATCTGAGGGACTTCCTACTTCAATAGTTCCGCAAAGGCGAAATCGACACCGCTGACTTGCCTAAACCAGGACCCCGGCGGCCGAACCCGCGACCAAACAAACCCGACAATCAAGAAGGTGCTAAGGTAGCCGACTCTGATGAAGAACAGGTCGCTCCCCCTAAACGAGATCGCAAAGCACCTAATAGAGAAACGAATGCACCCAGAACAAGGAAGAAGGTCAATATGAATATGGGAGCCCTCGAATCATGCAACCACTCCGTCCAAGCCCTCAAAAAGTACAGCCGTCAAGCATCGAGTTCGCAACCCCAGACAACGGTGACAACCGTACCACTGTTATTCACCGAAGCCGACCTGTGGGGAGTGCATATGCCTCATAACGATTGCCTCGTCATTGAGCTTCAGCTTGGATACGTCGAAGTAAGCAGGATATTAATCGACACGGGGAGTTCGGTAAACGTCATATTCAAGGAAACACTCAAGAATATGGATTTTCCGGATTCCGAGATCAAGCCTTATATGGAATCATTGACCGGGTTCACCGGCGAGAAAACAAGGACAGTAGGGACGGTGAAGATACCCTTTTATGTCGGCGGGTCAGCCCGAATGATCAAGTTTTTGGTCCTCAACAAACCGGTAATATATAATGCGATTTTCGGAACGCCATGGCTCTTCAACATGAAGGCCGTCGCGTCAACGTTCCACCAGTGCGTCAAGTTCCCGACCCCGTCAGGGATTTTCACCCTCAAAGGAAGCCAAACCGCGTCCCGATTATGCCACCTAACCGAGTGTAAACTCAGTCTCGCATGGACATGCGTCATCAGCCCCTTTCAGGAAGACCATGCGGCCGCAGTAAGCCAGTTCAGACCACCTAAACAGAGCCGAGTTGAGCAAGTCGGTATCGACCCGACAGATCCAGAAAAATGTGTCGGCATAGGGGCCGAACTCGACAACAATATTCGGGAAGCACTCATCAGTTTCCTCCAGAAAAACGTCTCCACATTCACATGGAATATCAGCAACATGCCCGGAATCAATCCAGATAACACTTGCCCCGAGCTAAATATCGATCCTACATATAAACCTATCAAACAGAAGAGACGCAAGCTCGGACCCGAGAAAGCACGGGCGGTTAATGATGAGGTCGAAAAATTGCTCAAAGCCGGATCGATCACGGAGGTTCGATACCCGGACTGGCTAGCAAACCCGGTAGTCGTGAAGAAAAAGAATGGAAAGTGGAGGATCTACGTCGACTTCACCGACCTGAACAAAGCTTGTCCCAAAGATAGTTTCCCACTACCACACATTGATCGGTTGGTAGAGGCAACTGTCGGCAACGAACTGTTATCTTTCATGGACGCCTTCTCGGGATATAACCAAATCCTAATGCATCCGGATGATCGGGAAAAGACTTCGTTCATCACAGATCGAGGAATCTACTGCTATAAGGCCATGTCGTTCGGTCTCAAGAACGCGGGAGCCACGTATCAAAGACTCGTGAACCGCATGTTCGCCAGTCAGCTCAGAAAAACGATGGAGGTATACATTGACGACATGCTGGTTAAATCCTTGTACGCTAAGGACCACATATCGCACCTATCAACGTGTTTCGACATCCTGAACGAGTACAGGATAAAACTCAACCCCACCAAGTGCACCTTCGGCGTGACGGCGGGCGAATTCATGGGTTACTCCGTCACCGAGCGCGGCATCGAGGCTAACCCAAAGCAGATATCCGCAGTTCTAGACCTACCTTCCCCGACTTCAAAAAGGGAAGTGCAAAAACTCACAGGCCGAATCGCCGCTCTGAACAGATTTATCTCCAGGTCGACGGATAAGTGTCTGCTTTTCTACCAGTTGTTACGAGGTAACAAGCATCATACTTGGAGCGCCGAGTGCGAAGACGCCTTCAAGCAGCTGAAAACGTATCTCTCGACTCCCCCCATTCTAGCTAAGCCCGAGAACGGCGAGATGCTATTCTTATATATCGCTATCTCCACATCGGCGGTTAGCAGTGTTCTAGTCCGCGAGGACACGGGAGAACAGCGTCCAATATTCTATGTCAGCAAGTTGCTAAGTGACGCCGAGGCCAGATACCCGACCTTAGAAAAATTGGCGCTTGCAGTGGTAGTTTCCGCTCGGAAACTTCGGCCATATTTCCAGTCTCATTCAATCACAGTCTTGACCGACCAGCCGCTCCGAACCATTCTACACAGTCCAAGCCAATCAGGTCGCCTCGCGAAATGGCCGTCGAACTAAGCGAGTACGATATAGAATACAAGAATCGAACCAGTGCGAAATCCCAAGTACTCGCCGATTTTCTGATCGAGCTTCCTAAAGAATTTGTCGTCGAACAGCCGCCCCTCGAGCTATGGACTCTGCACGTCGACAGATCGTCATCACACCGGGGATCAGGCGTCGGAATCCGCCTAAAGTCTCCAAACGGCGAGATCCTCGAACAATCGTTCCACCTTGAGTTCCCAGCATCCAACAATGAGTCTGAGTACGAAGCCATTAGCCAAAGATCTCGGCGTGCGACATCTCCACGCCTTCTGTGATTCGCAGCTCGTTGCAAGTCAGTTGAGTGGAGAGTATACGATTAAAAACGAACGAATGGACGCGTACCTAACGACAACTAAGGCACTCATCTCAAAGTTTGAGACGTTCGAACTCACCAAATCCCTCGCGGTGAGAACTCGTCTGCCGACGCGTTAGCCGCCCTAGCTTCCAGTTCCGACCCGCATATGAAGAGAAAAATCCCGGTCGAGAGTATCTCAGATTCAAGCATCAAAACCGCGCTGAAATGCAATGTTGCCACCCGACGACGGAATTATGACGAAAATCCGACCTCGTCGAATACGCAACGCAGGAATCCGGCACGAGCAAATCAGAATGCCGAACAGGTTCTTAAGGAGAATGTTGAACAAGCTCTCGAGGATCTAGCCGCCGATCACGACTTCGAACACATAACTGAAGGAATCCACAGCCCATCGACCAGTGAAAAACGAGCCCGCTGAAGATTGGACAGCCGAACTGCGAGAATACTTCCTCAACGGCAAAGTCCCTGAAGACAAATGGGCTGCTCGCCGTCTTAAAGTCCGGGCTGCTCATTACACAATGCATAAAGATAAACTTTACCGTTGGAACGCATCCGGAGTACTCTTGTCCTGCGTCGCCGGGAACGATATAGTCGAAATCATGCGCGAAATCCACGAAGGGTCTGGTGGTAATCACTCGGGAGGTCGATCCCTTGCCCTGAAAATCAAAAAAGCCAGCTATTTCTGGCCGACGATGAATGCGGACTGCGAGAAGTTTGTCATGAAGTGCGATAAGTGCCAGCGTCATGGTCCAATGATTAACGTGCCAACCGAGCTGCTGCAAACCAGTACGGCGCCTTACCCCTTTATGCGTTGGGCCATAGACATCGTTGGCCCTTTATGCCGATCAACAAGTCAAAAACAGTATATCTTGATTATGACTGACTACTTCACAAAATGGGTTGAGGCCGAAGCGTACTCGGAGATCACCGCACTGGACATACAAAAATTCGTTTGGAAGTATATCATTTGCCAACACGGGGTCCCGCATGAGATCGTCACGGACAACGGACCATAATTTATCGCCGGAACGTTCAATGATTGGTGCGCAAAGTTCAAAATTTGTCTTAATTTCTCGACCCCGCGATATCCGCAAGGCAACGGTCAGGCCGAGGCAACCAACAAGACCATCCTGGACGACCTAAAGAAGCGTCTCGAGGCTAAGAAAGGCACCTGGGCGGACGAGCTCGACGGAATCTTATGGTCGCACCAAACTATTCCCAGGTGGCCGACCGGACAATCTCCTTTCTCTTTAGCATACGGACTTGAAGCCCTCTGCCCGGCAGAAATGAGCATCCCAACATTAAGATACTCCGTGCTCCCCGAGAACCCCGATCTCAACGACCAGATGATGCTCAACAACCTCGATAACTTGGAAGAACAACGATGCTTATCCCTCCTCCGAATACAGAACTACCAAAAGCTCGCTGCTCGCTACTACAACAAGAAAGTGCGGGGTCGGCATTTTGATGAAGGCGACCACGTTCTGCGCGAGGTGTTCCATAACACCGAGGAACTAAACGCAGGCAAACTGGGAACGAACTGGGAAGGTCCTTATCAGATAATGAGAATCGTCAAGCCCGGGGTTTACGAACTTATGCAACTCGACAGAACGTCGATCCCGCGATCATGAAACTCAGCTACCGCAAGCTCGGATTATTCATTTCACCGCCATAAAAAAAAAAAAAAAAAAAAAAAACAGTCCGGCTCCGGCCGAACTCACCCCTGTAAACTGAACTACGAGTGGCTTGATCCTTTGCAAAAGGGTACGTAGGCAGCTCGATTTCGAGTCCAGCTACAAATCCAATAAATTTCATCTTTTTCACTAACTCTACATATCGACTCCCCGGCCAGGAGATCGAACTAAGTATTCCCCATGAATACAATCTCAAAAGCCGAGATCCATCTCGCCCGCACCCCCATGGTGCCCACTATTCAAAGCCGGAACCCAATCCGCAATCACTCTTCCGAATAGCAATCCGCCAATCGCGATTCAAGCTCGGAGAACCTCCCGAGTTCGTCCGCATCGTCACAATAACATCACGAACTCCAAATCCAATAGAAACAAGCCGAACTCCCAACAGTTCGCAATAAAATATGAGAAAGGAAAATTCTAAGTAAAAGTCGCGATAAAAGAAAACCGTGCTCATGTCATTAATACTCGAAACTGCCGAACCAGACGGCAACAAATACAACGCCTAAAATTGGCGATCAAAACAAATCGTTAAGTTAAAACACGAGCTACGCGGGCAAGATAGTCTTTACAACAACAACAAAAACAAGAAAGAAAACTAAGGGAAACTAAGGGAATCATTGGCGAGCAACGGACGCCGGACTCTTAAGACTCGCTGCCCGATCAGCCGAGATGGACTTGGAGTTTGAGCCAAACTGGTCCAAGCCCTCCGGAACTTGCGTCCCCGTTGAAACACAATCCTAGGGATGAGATCGTCATCACTCGGGAGGAGGAAGTCTTCGCTCTCGAACCGCGGAAGGGGGATGACATCGACCTCCTTTGTGCAGTTCTTGACCCTACGCCCATACACCTCCACGATGTGAGACGAAACAATCATGTTGTGCTCCCTTCTGAGGAAGTCGCAGAAACCAACCAGAGTCGTCGCTTGGTTAAGCTTGAGGAACGGCGTCTTTCTGAGCTCGGACTTGTCCATGAAGTCCTTCATCTTGGCAAGCTTCCCCTCGCATTTGCCTCTGAGCGCGGCCATCATCTTTCGGCCCTTTGCCTCGGCATCTCGGTACTTCCGCCTCGAGCTCGCTTGTCTTGAACGACTTGGACAGAGCATCCATGTCGCCCTCCAGTTCGGCAGTCCGCCTTTCCAGAGCCCCAACCTTCTCCTCCAGGGTAAGGTTCTCCTTCTCCTTTTCGGTGAAGGCCAACACCGAAGCTTCGTACCTTTCCTTCTCGTCCCGGTACGACGCTTCCAACGACGCCCTCTCAGCAGCGACCTCGGCGTTAATCTTCCTCAGTCTCTCGACCTCAGAGTCGTACTCGCGGACGAGCTTGTTGGTATCACAGACGAGCTGAAAATAGAGATCAAAGTCAGATACTTCAAAAAAGTCTAAGTATTCAAATCAGAGAGAAACTTACAGCGGAGGCGGATTTCGCGACCCGAGCATAAGACTTGGGGCGGAAGAGGTCTTTAGTCTCAGGCATTGGAGACGAGGCCGGGACGATCTGCCTGAAGAGCTCGGCGCAGGCAGTTGCGTCGTCAAAAAAGGACCTCTCCTTATTATAGCTGAGACGGACCGAGAAAGATGACGAGTCAGAGGTCCGGCGCCTCTTGGACGACCTCAGGTTCCCTGTCTCGACAGCCAGATCCGGCGGAAGAATTTGAGAAGCGGTAGGCGAACCGCCGATGTTTTCACCGTGAAGGACCAGTGTCCCCTCACTCACAGCCGTCTCGGGGTCACCGCCCCTCTTCCGAGACGATTTCCTCGAGGACTTCCCTTTCTTCCTCCGGGCACGGTCGGCAATGGTGAGCTCGTCTTCGTCCTACTCACCAATCTCACTTTCTTCCATCTGAAGCTCAGGAACCGCCTCAGGAACACCAGTCCCCACCACTTCGACCTCCGGGTCTGTAACCGGGATCAAAGGATCAACTGGGCCGACCGGGACGTTGTCGACCTCGTTTCCACCCTCGGCTTCTTCCTCATCAGCCCCGAAGTTCATCATTGGAATGTCCGACTTGTCGAATGCCATCCTCCGACTCTTTTTGCTGCCTTTCTTCGATTTCTTTTTCTTCAGTACCGGCCTCGACGAGCTGGGTTAAAAAAAATAAATAAATAAAACAAGTATGTCAGCCGTAATCTATACAGCTAAGTAATAACGACCTCAAAACGACCCGAGAACTCATACCTCTATCCTGAGCTCTCTTTATCCGACGGTCGATCTTCTCCCGGTAAGCAAGGGGCCAACGGTGCTGTCCGGCGAGACTTAGCTGCTTCGCTAGGTCGGACGTAAGGGAGCGTTGAATAAATCCTGGAACGTGGTGATCTGCATAAGCAAAAAAAAAAAATTTATTAATACCGACCAAGAAACAGGGGAGTTAACCGTGAGATATGTACCAAAATCGACACTTCAGCCAGTCTAGAACGTGCTCTCCGGATTCTCAGCAGACAACGAATCGACGCGAACAATAGAAGTAACTTTGGTCTTAGTTCGAAAATTTGCTAGCCTTGTTCCCAGTAACCAGGTCGAACTTCAGGTTGCAATTCACCGACAGAAACCAACTTTTGGCCGATGAGACCTTCATGATAAAAAGCTCCTCGAATTGGGCCACGTTGATGTGAGCCCGGATGTCACGCCCGAGCTGGAGAATCCCGACAAAATTTACTATCGACGCCGGCTGAAGTTGTTATATCGCGCAGCCGCGACGATTGCAGTAGGCGAACAGCAAGCGGGGCAGAGGGAAAGTCAATCCGGCCTCGCGGGAATAAGCTTCGTAGACACAAATGAAGTCCTTGGGTGCATCCCAAGGGCGCTCTTCCGGTTCGGGAACTTGGATTATGATTCCAGGAGGGGCTCCGCCGATCAGCATAGCAGCCCGAACAGTCTCTGGAGATGACAAGGTGGATTTCACCGGAGCGCATATGCATGGCCGATCCATGATCGACATCATGTCATCATCGTTTGGATCCTGCGCTCCTCCATCCCCGACCTTGCGCGGTGGAGCGTCCTCGTCTGTCTTCACGTCAGGCTCCCGTCCCGAGACCAAGTCAGTGGGAGCCTGGCCTTCGGGCTCACGGAGATTCCGATCCATCCGCTCCGGAGCTCGAATCGGAACTCGACTACTAGAACCGACCTCGACGACCCGGGAATTCTTCCGAACCAGAGAAGCGTTCGAAGAATGCTCTGTAGATCCCGAGCTCGAGACGTCAGTGGAGGATTCCTCCCTACGGTGTTCGGGAAGAATAGCGGCCTCAGAGTTGGAGGAGGAGTCGGAAGACATCGTCGGAGCGGCTCGAGGAAATAACCGTCGACGAGAGAGCACGGCGGACGGCGACCGGAGACCCTAGAGAGAGAAAGAAGAAAATTTAGAGAAGGGAGAGCGAATACCTTGGCAGTAGGAGCGAAAGTGAGAAATGGGGAGAGCTGAGCCCTATTTATAGAAGAAGAGCGAATCATTGCGACTTCTCAAATTCCGCGCCTCGTAACGTCTCGGTTTCCTGCCTAAACTGATGCAACTTTTCAGCTCCCCACGGGCGAAAATACTTAAATACCCTTGCCGAAACACCAGAAGAATGAAGAAGGGTGTAAGTCGAGAACTCGATGTCACCGACCTCGGTCATTAGCCGATCCTGCTTCAATTTGGCAAAAGTCAGTCAGGTCCATTTACCGAACTGGGGGGGAGACATACTGTTGGTGATACGCTCCGTTCCCCGGTTCGGACCGGTTAAAGACCGAGACCGGCCCAATTGATCCCGGTTTACGACAGTTTTGGCCGAAATGGGCATGGTCTGACAGCACGGCCCATAGGAGAAAAAGCCCAGCGACAAGAGGCGGTGAGAGCTGAACGAGAAGCCCTAGAACTTCTCCTCGTTTATGTACTATAAATAGTGGAATTGTTACCGTAGAAAGGATCTTTTTCGGACCCGGAGAATAGAGACTTGAATATTGTATCGAATTCGTCGAGAGAATTCTGAACTGAACGAACTGTAATTGGGAACTTAATAAAATATAACCAATTTAATCTTCCGAGTTCGAATTACCGAACCGACCTCAGATAGTTGAGAACTACAATCAACACTGGCTGTCTCAGATAATCGTGAAAATGTCGTTGCTTGAGCGTGTAGGTTAACCGAGCCACTAAATTCTTGAGCCTTATGGACACAAAACAGAGAAGCTGTGAACGACAGCAACTAAACTACAAAAGAAAACAGATTAAGAAGGATAATAACATTGGAAGACCTTTGTCCAATGATCTGCACTCTTGTGTCTTTCTTCAACATTGACCGATGTAACATTCCCTATAAGAGGACAGAACCAGATAAAGGAAACAACCTCAGAACAAACAAGAAGGGACAAAAGTAATGAGTGTTGGTTTATAGTTCTACCATTGGTGCTTGGATTAGACTCTGGAGTTTGATTGTCAACTCTTCGAGTCAAAGGACTTGAATTAAAAAGAGAGAAGCTTGCTCCATGGCTAATAGCGTCCACTTGTGCTCGCAAATCTTGAACTTCTTTCGAAATCTAAAGCAAGTTTATGAGAACAAACGACGGAGATCACAAAGACTAATGCTTTACACGATACACAAACTAATCTAGCTACCAATATAACAAATAACACAAACAAGTCCCTATTTGATGTAGAACAACAATAAGTAAGAAGATTACAAGACTAATTGTTACATGATACACACTAATTAAGCTACCATTCTACATATAACACAAACAAGTCCCTTTGTTTTTTGATGTAAGATCAACAATGATCTTGGGATCAAACACTGTTGAAAATTGGAAAATTGTAACAACAGAAAAACACGAACCTCCTGCATTTGAGGTTGTTTCATGACACCATCTATGTGGCCACGAGCCATTTGGATGGAGCCAATGGCTCGTCCGAATAATCTTCTCCTGCTCTGGCGATAATCGGAAGATTCTTAGGACCTGGAAAATTTGGAGATTTTGAGTATCGGAGCCTTTCGATTAAAACTCACATAAGAATGAACAAAACATGAGATTTTGACAGAAAAACACAAATCTCGATGTTATAGATTGAAGAGACTAACCTACAACAGCAGCTGTTGCACCGATGATGACTAAGATCTCGCCGTAAGAAAGCCCGAGCATTTGCTTTCTTCTCCGGCGTCTGATCGTCGGTTTCTCCTCCGTTCCTCTCGCCGTCTTCGGTGAAGGAGAAATCTTCTCGATACAGGCTTGATTATTGGGCCGTAAAAAGCCCATTAATTGATATTTTAAAAGCAATTTTTATCTTTTTAAAATGATAATCGTCTTTATGCAGAAGAACGAATCTACTTCTCGTGGACAGTCTCTGAAAACGTAAAATCCAAGAATGTTTTCGATTCTTCTCCGGTCGTAGAGATTCTAGAAACTCCGGTGAAATCCTTTTACCGGGCTCGATCGAAGTTACCTTTTTTGAATCTTCTCTGCTCCGATTTTCCTTCGTTTTCCTTCATTTTCCCGAGAAACCAAACAGTTTCGCTTTATTTTATTCGGGCGAAAATTGAATAAAGCCTCACCATAGTTGATCTGCGAATCGAAGATCGAGCAATGGATTTCTTAGAACTAGAAGCGATCGAGGGTGTACGGTGGACATGGAACTCATGGCCAACAACGAAATCGGATTGTAAATCTCTAGTTGTTCCTCTAAGCATCATGTACACTCCATTGATGCAGTTCTCCGAGCTTCCCACGATTCCTTATGATCCGCTGATTTGCTCTCGATGCGGCGCAGTGTTGAACCCTTACGCTCGTGTGGATTACCAATCTCGAATCTGGGCTTGTCCCTTCTGCTTGCACAAAAACCTCTTCCCTCGCTCTTACGCCGGAATCACCGAGACCAATCTCCCGGCGGAGCTTTTCCCGACTTACAGCGCCGTCGAATACTCTCCGCCGCGTAAATCCGCATCCACCACGGCTGCTTCGACCGCTAGCTGGACGAATGGGATCGGTCAAGGGCTACAACCGTCGAGATCGATGTCTTCCTCTTCGTCTTTCTCGTCTCTCGCTTCTACCGTCGGCGGAGCTGGTGGTGGTAGCTACGGCGAGCTTGGGCCTGCGTTCGTGTTCGTTCTTGATGCGTCTATGGCGGAAGAGGAGTTACGGGCCCTGAGAAGCGAGCTTTTGCTAGTGATTGAGCAGTTGCCAGAGAATTCCTTGGTGGCTTTGATTACTTTCGATTCCATGGTTAGGGTCTATGATTTGGGTTTCTCAGAATGCTCTAAAGTTGTTGTCTTCCATGGCGAACGTGAGCTTCCTCCAGAGCAGGTAAAAATCTTGATTTGGGACTTTCGGTCAATGCTTCCTTCTTGCACAAATGGTGGCATTTGATTACAGTAGATACAATAGAGGGATACATATGATTGAATCGATACCTTTGTTTTCATTTGAAATGACTATATTCGTATTTTTGGATTAGTGTTTAATCAGATAGTTTGATGAATTTGAAGTGTGTTGAATTGTTGATGTGTGATTTGACTCTCTTTGTGTAAAAACAAGTACTCATTTTAGGCTTCTTGTTGTTCTTAAGCCAGAAATCTACTGTCTTCTTGTGTTTCATTTTGATTGTTTGTTTCGATAGATTGTTCTTTTTTGCAGTGTTTGAGTTTGAATTTGACAAAGTTTTTCATCAGATACAACAATTTCTCGGACTTGGATATTCGAAGCAGCTTCATCATGGGAAGATGTCAGCGATTCGGAAGCAGAGTTTCTTGCTTCCGTTGGGGGAATGTGAGTTTAACATAACATCTGCTTTTGAAGAAATCGTTACATCGGTTAATGTCAAACCCGGTCATCGGCCTCATAGGTCAACCGGTACTGCGATCTCGACAGCACTGGGACTGCTCGAAGGATGTTCTGTAACCACAGGATCCCGGATCATGGTTTTCACGTCAGGGCCTGCAACAAGAGGCCCCGGGATCGTTGTGGACTCGGATCTAAACCGTTCGATCAGAACACACAGAGATATCATCACTGGTCAAGTGCCTTATTACGACAGATCTTGCGGGTTTTACAAGAAACTAGCAAAAAGGCTCTGCGATTCGTCTGCTGCTCTCGATTTGTTCGCTTGCTCTCTTGACCAAGTTGGAGCAGCGGAGCTGAGGTACGCAGTGGAAATGTCTGGTGGGTTTCTCTTACTTGGAGAGACGTTTGAATCCGAGCAGTTCAAGAAATGTCTCAGACATATATTCAGCCGAGACGCAGATGGGAACTTGAACATGTGCTTTGACGTGTCTATAGAAGTTGTGACGACTAAAGATATGCGAATCTGTGGTGCGCTTGGTCCGGTTGTGTCGCTTAAGAGGAAGAATGATATAGTGAGCGAAACAGATATCGGTGAAGGTGGAACATATTCATGGAAGACGAGCACTGTCACTAATAAGACTTGTGTTTCGTTCTTCTTTCATGTGAGCAACGAGCAGAACCGAAAACCGCAACCCGGTTCAGCGTTCTTCATTCAGTTCATTACTCGTTACCGGTATGGAAATGGAGGATTGAGAAAAAGGGTTACAACGGTTGCTAGAAGATGGGTCGCCGGAAAATCGCCGGAGATCTCGTCTGGTTTCGATCAAGAAACAGCTGCTTCGGTTATGGCGCGGCTTGCGATAAACAAAGCAGAAGAGTGTTACGCTAGAGACGTTATTAGATGGTTAGATGACGGTTTAATCCGGTTCGCTTCACGGTTCGGAGATTATATTCAAGAAGATCCAAAATCTTTCAGGTTGACTCCAAACTTCTCGCTTTACCCTCAGTTCATGTTCTACCTAAGGAGATCACAGTTTCTTGACGTCTTCAACAACTCTCCAGACGAAACCGGGTTTTTCCGGTTAATGTTAAACCGAGAAGGTGTGGTTAACTCAATCATCATGATTCAACCAACGCTTCTCCGGTATTCATTCGACGGGCCACCGGTTCCAGTCCTCTTGGACATCCGGTCAGTGACACCAGACGCGATTTTGCTGTTCGATTCATATTTCTACGTTGTGATCCACCACGGTTCGAAAATCGCGCAATGGAGGAAACTCGAGTATCACAAAGACGCGAACCACGAGACTTTCCGTAACCTTCTAGAAGCGCCGGAGATCGATGTGGTGCAGCTAGTGAGTGATCGGATTCCGATGCCACGGATCGTACGGTGTGACCAGCACGGTAGCCAAGCTCGGTTTCTTCTCGCTAAGCTTAACCCTTCGGTTACTCAGAAAACCGATCATACCGGTGGTTCAGAAATCGTTCTCACTGATGATTTGTGTCTTCAAGATTTCCTCGACGATTTGCAATCTCTGGCGGTCAAAAGCTGAGAGAAAATCGGTAAATTGGTTTGGTTTTTTGACTAATTGGTTATACGAATGATTACCTTATTAGTGTTCAGCTTTTCCAGAATCGTTTAAATTTGAAGTTTGTATGATTTGGTTTAGCTGTATAGAAACGGTTTTAATCCTTGAGAACCAATCGTGCAATTACCAACGAACCGGGTTAATTCACTTTACATGTTTGAATCACACGGGGAAGAAGAAGAAGAAAAAGAGAAACAAAGATCCTAAATCCCCAAATTCAGATAAATCAAAAAGCTTATAATCCGCTGTAATCGCCGCGAGCGCCGCCATTGTCGTCGGCGACGTTAGAGAGCATAGCTCCGTATGGAGATTCGAGATCGTCCGTCACAAGATCGTCCGTTCCTCTAACCGCAGCGTGCAAAATCACGAGCAAAACGCCGAATCCGACGGTTGTAAGCGCTCTAAGCCAGACTCCGGTGATGAAAAGTGAAAAGAGTGTAAGACCGGCGAGAAACACCGCGACGACGCCGTCGTTAACAGAAAAACCGAAGATGTCGAGTGATTCCTCGCGAGCGAAGTAGAGGAAGTACCAAGCGAGACCGACGGCGATAAACGCGAGAATCGCGATCGGGCGTGTGATTAGAGCGAAGGCTAGGAGGAAGTAGATGATGATACTGTAGTTGATTCGGAAATGCGTGAGGTTTTGCGTCACGCGCGTGGTGGCGTCGGCGACGGAGGAAGGGAAGCTCAAAGCGGATAGATCTAGAAATTCACTCCAGGCACGAGCAGCAATGGAGATCGAATGTGCCGATTCTTTGAAGCTTGAAATCACTTGATTCGCCATTGTTGTTCTGGATTCTGGAAACTCCTGAAACCCTAGATTCGTTCGAGTGCGAGAGGTATGTGAAAAGAAAGGAGGAGCAAGTCAAACAGATTTCTGATGAGCTAAGACTTTAGAACGTTAACAGGCTCAAGCCCAGATAGTAAAGCCCAATAAAAAGTCCAACTAATACGATACTAGTATAGTCCGTGAAGGTTTTATACATTTATATTGTTTTTTTTTCCCAACTCGTATTAGAAGTTTCGAACAAAGAATCTGGTACAGCAATTCCATAAGGCGCTAGTAAATTCATAGAGGAACAACCTAAAAAGTTTTATTTTGTCACATTTTATGTAGATTGTTTTTTTTTTATAAAAAAAACATGCAATTATATCTTTATTTTATATAGTAATAATTAAATGTAAACCGTTTGAAACTCATCTTACTACAGTTTATCGCCCAAAATTAAACTGCATTTATAAAAGATAGACTTCTCATTGAAAACCTTCTGCTGGCATCTGAGCTTGTAAAGGATTATCACAAGGCTCCTATCTCTCCTCGCTGTGCAATGAAAATAGACATCTCAAAAGCCTTCGACTCAGTTCAATGGGATTTCTTATTCACCATTCTTAAAGCTCTCGATATTCCTCCACAATTTATTCATTGGATCAAATTGTGTGTATTCACTGCATCATTCTCTGTTCAAGTTAATGGAGAACTGGCTGGATACTTTGGTAGTAAACGGGGGCTTCGACAGGGCTGTTCACTCTCGCCATACCTGTTTGTTATATGCATGAATGTCCTCTCCAAAATGATCGACAAAGCAGCAGTTGAAAGGAGAATCGGCTATCATCCTAAATGTAAGAATTAAATCTTACACATCTCTGTTTTGCTGATGACTTGATGGTATTCTCAGATGGAAGTCTTGGGTCTATGGAGGGTATCATTACGGTATTTGATGAATTCGCTAAAATCTCTGGTCTTCAAGTCAGTTTGGAAAAATCCACAGTGTATCTTGCTGGTGTTTCAGGAGAGATGCGAACGACAACGCTTGACAGCGTTCCGTTCGTGTCAGGAACGCTACCAGTACGTTACCTAGGCCTGCCACTCTTCACAAAGAAGATGACGAAAACAGATTACGCCCCTCTCATTGATGGTATTCGGCGCAGAGTGCATTCTTGGACAGCTCGATTCCTTTCTTTTGCAGGACGTTTACAGCTGATAAACTTGGTGATCTCAAGCTTAACCAATTTCTGGATCTTGGCATACCGCTTTCCCAGAGGATGTCTTGATGAAATTGAAAGCATCGGCTCAGCCTTCCTGTGGTCTGGGCCAGACCTTAACACTAAGAAGGCCAAGGTCGCTTGGAGAGATGTTTGTTGCCCAAGAAAGGAAGGAAGATTAGGGTTTAAAAATGTTCGAGAAGCAAATGACGTCTGTGTGCTGAAACTATTCTGGAAAATCCTTACGACCAAAAATTCGTTTTGGGTCAGATGGATACACTCTTGCTATATAAAAGGATCCTCCATTTGGGCACTTAAAGATCCTACAAGTTCTTCACCAGGTTCTTGGATGTGGAAACAAATATTGAAAATCAGAAGCAAAGCAAAGGAATTTGTGCGAATGGATGTCAAGAATGGGAAAACAACTCATTTTTGGTTTGATCACTGGAGTTCAATGGGCAGACTTGTGGATCTGACAGGGGAACGTGGCTACGTAGACTTGGGTCTGAACTATAAAGCTACTGTTGCAACTGCTCTTAGTTCGCATCAACGACGAAGACACCGTTTCCCCTTATTCAATATGATAGAAGAGGAAATTCAGGCCGCTCCTCGAAATTATAAACCAGAGGAAGAAGACGTAGCTCTCTGGCGACAGAAGACCGGTGAATAAAAACATCGTTTCAGCACACAAAAAACCTGGGAACAGTTACGTCAACTGAAGCCACTTGTCGAATGGAGTAGAGTGGTTTGGTTTCGTCACAATACTCCCAAGTTCGCCTTCCATACGTGGATCACGATCCTCAACCGGCTGCCTACGGGAGATCGCATGCTAACGTGGAACCAACAGCTCTATACCTCGTGTGTCTTCTGTCTCCATCCTCTGGAAAGCAGAACTCACTTGTTTTTCGAATGCCCTTACACAGAGCAAATTTGGACCACTCTAGCGAGAAATCTGCTTGGAGATGCCTTTACATGTGATTGGGATAGCTTACTGGTGCACATCACTCACCAGAATCAGGGTCGTCTAAGAGCCTACACCACCAAATACCTGCTTCACATCACTCTATACCACGTGTGGCGAGAACGTAACGGAAGGCGTCATGGAGAAATTCAGTCAACACCGCAACAGTTGACACAGAGAATTGATAAAGGGATGAGAAATAGATTTAACTCTATCCGATTCATTGGCGACCAAAAATATGAAGAGGGATATCAATATTGGATTGCATCAAGGCCTCTTGCCTAATCTGTATTTTATTTAGCGAATTAAGCTGCTTCTGTTTTCGCAAACATCTTTATGTAAAATTTTTTGTTTTGGGTTCGAATAAATTTAACATTCATTCAAAAAAATGATTAAATGTAAATGATTTAAATTCAAATTTTATTTTCTTCGAAGAAGAAATATAGAAATTGAGTGTAAAAAATTATATTGAAAACGTGGAATGAAACCTTTTTAAAATAAAAAACAAATTTAAAATAATATCTTATTATATAAAACGGAAGGAGTAGAAAAAAATTAGATGCTTTTCTTGAATAGTTGGTCTGTAATAGAAATAAAATAGAAATAAACGAATCAAAATCGGTCAATTTTACAGTCAAGTCGTTCACACAAGGAAATTTCCTAAGGCTCAAGAGTAATGAGTAAATGACACATCAAAAAGATAATATCAAAGACTATTACAATTACAATAATAGAGGTAGAGTAAATAAGTACATCAACTGATCCACACAAAACAAAATCTAGTGATGATTTAAACATAACTAAACTACTAAAGCAACAAACACTCCAATACTTTGACCCAAAAAAAACTGCGATAATAACGATTTAATTGATTAACCTTTAACAATTAAAGAAAATGATTTTTTTTGTAAAACTTAATCATTTTTCGTTTTATGCATTCATTAAACGAGAAAACATCTACCTTCTCGCAGGAATTTCCAACCTTGCGGACAGTAAGCGAAATATATTCTACTAAGATCATCTCTTTTTTTTTTTTTTTTCCACGGTCTTGTTTTTTTCACCTCAGTAAAGGAAAATAATTGTCTTCTAAAATTGGAGAAATAATGGCTAAAGCTTCTTTTTTTCGTTGCCAATATATACGTTACTTGACTTTCTCTAGCTACATGTTTCCTACGTCAACTGACTTTTGTCTTGAATTCTCCTACATACGTGATACGTCACTAATATAAACAAGAACTTGTGAAACTATTCATTGACTTAAACCAAAACAAAAAGAAACTATTCATTGACCACGTGCTTGATATTGTTCACGTGTGTTAAATCAACAATACCTCACGTGTTTAATTTACAAGATAAATATACACACGACTACACGACACACACAACATCAACTCACAACTCAACATTCGAAAACAGTGTGTGTGAGAGAGAAAGAGAGAGAGAGAGATGGATTATTTCTTTCTAGATTGCGTTTGCCAAGAAGAAGAAGAAGAAGACAAGTTCTGGGATCTGATCGCCGGTGACGTTTCCGGCAACGGTGACGACGGTGAAAGAACCGTAAACAGAAGTGCGTTTAGGTCATACGTGAAGGATACGGAACAGAGGATGATGCCGTCTTCATCGACGGTGAATAACGTGAAGAGAAGAATGGTGAATCTTTTGAGAAAGAATTGGGAGGAGAAGAAAAATGCGGTGGCGCCGGAGAAAGAGAGATGCCGGCTACATATGATGAAAGAGAGAACAAGAAGAGAGAAACAAAAACAGAGTTACTTAGCTCTCCATTCTCTTCTACCATTTGCCACCAAGGTAGAGTACTTCATTGTGTTTATTAAATTCAAATAACAAATAAACAAGAAAATTAAAATACAAGACAATTCTTTAAATTATAATACCACTTTTTTAAGTTTTCGATTCAAAACATATATATATATATATATATACTAACATTTTTAGGGGAAAAAAAGAGAACATATACCAACACTAATTTATTTTTCCAATAATACCACCAATTCAATATCACAAAACTCTTATAACCTGGGGAAAAGAACTAAATATTAAATTAGAAAAAGAAAATCCAAACATAATGTATTAGTTTTCTTTGTACTTTCTTTAGGGTAAACAAATATTTTACACAATAATTTGTAGTATTATTAACAAAATAAACTAGTGATAGTGTGCTTGAAACAAAAACGTATAAAATATAATATTAAGGCATTTCTCTTAAATCAAACCTTTATAAATAATGGATTCTTTCCTTTAAACTATATATTCGAAAGAGACGGATTGGAGGTCCTTAATACACTACTTTATTCAGGGCTCCTAAATTTCTGATATTTTTTGTTTGTATAGTCAACACAAATTTATACAAAAATATAATTTTCATTGAATAGGCCTATATTAATAGAAATTGGGACGGACGCAAAACAATTAAACAACATCATTTATCCTAATAATGTGCATTGATGTTTTTGATTGTATGTTTCAGAATGACAAAAATTCAATTGTTGAAAAAGCTGTGGATCAGATTGGGAAATTAGAAAGACTAAAGGAAGACCTAGAGAGAAGAATGAATGTGTTGGAAGCAAAATCAGCAAAGGATGATGATGAATTGATTGGGACAAAGGTTAGGTTTAATCTACAAGAACCTTTGTCTGGGATCGATTCAATGGTAGAAGTTCTTCAATGTCTTAAATCAGTGGGGACAAAATTTAAAACAGTCCAAGCCAATTTCTCTCCTCATGAATTCTCTGCGACCATGAACATCGAGACTCAGGTACATATTTACATATTCAATTTGATTTTCCGTTCATTTTCTTTCAATTTGTTGGATTTATTTTTCTGTTTATAAAACACTAGATTATGATCCGCATGATGTATATGTAAATTCTATATAGAAAACATTACTTTGATCATGAAATTAATAACTCGCATAATTATTTTACAAAAAAATAAGAACCCACATAATTATGATTTATGTAATTAGATTTTGGATTCAGACCCACATTTATTTTATCTTGTGAAACTGAATCATCAAAGATGCAAGAACAATCGTAAACAATAACAACATATTGAACCTGTAAATTCGATACGTGCAAATCGGGAGAAACCAACTTTACATGAAAACATAAAATTTTAAGCACACACACACTCACAATAATACACTATTATGGAAATAGTTTTTTTTTTTTGTTGTTCAGAATTATGGAAATAGCTTGCATTAACAAAATCAAAGCATACACATTATACATACAAATTAATTATTATGTAAACTACATTTTTTTTTGTTAAAGAACGTATTACATAAACTACATACAAAATTAGGATTATCATATCATGTTGTTACATAGTCACAAAAATAAGTGTATATAGATTATTATTAATCTTCTAAATTTGACATTATAAATTTTATATTTTATATTTTTCGATCTTATAGTTTTTTTTCTTTTGCTTTTTTATTGTTTAGGATTTTAAAAGAATAAACGAAAACACCATGCTTTACTTAGATTTATGATTTAAACTTGAAAGATAAAAAGATATAAAAATATTGAAAACATGAAAAATAGAAAAAAATTATTTTTGTATAATTATTTTGTCATCTTTAGAATCTAAATAACTTAACAAAACAAAATATTTACGACAAAAAAAACATTTATTATTATATTGACATATAAAAAATCCAATCAACAACTACACATAACAGCACATAGGTAGTTATAATCTGATATGTGTTAAGCTCACGTTTCATTTTCTATATTTTATATAGAAAACAAAATAAAATTTCTTTGTTTTAATCGGTTTTGGTTTATAAACGAGTTTTCTCCAATGTTATTTTATTGTTATCATATAATTATTTTAAGATTATTTTAGATCTATTGTATAATTGGTTTGAAATATTCTCTTAAAAAATATTCTCTAGTATTTGGATTTGTAGTTAGAAACATATTTTATTGTATTTTTGTTAACAGTTACGTTATTTGGATTGTAGTTAAAAAAAGACTTGTGTGATGATATTAACTTTTGGCAGATACGAGGAGAAGAGGTGGAAAAGAGAGTGGAGAGAAGACTCCAGGAAATTGAATGGAAACTCCTCTTCCCACCAGAAGCTTCGTTTCTTAAAGACTAATGAGTTCCATTCTATTGTTTCTTTTATTCATTTTTTTTCGTCGTCTACTTCTTTATTTTTAGATCTTTAAATAAATTGAGCACTGCTTTGTTGACAAAAAACTTATACATATGCACTATTTTTTGAGCTTTGTATGATTCTGAATCCGTGGGTCATTTATTATCTAATTGAAATGTTACAAAAGTAGTATTTACAAAAGTTATGTAAGTTTTTGTGCTAATGATTTTTGTGCCAATGTTAGTAACTCAGAACCACTAGCTCATTCGGTTCAAGCGTTTTGGAGTTGGAAAACTTGCAAAATCAAACAAAGGTATGCTCAGCAATTTACCAGTGACATTGGATCCACACTCTCGAAGATGGGTTACAGTCTCCGTCGACTCGATGGATACAGAGATCCCAATGATCTCTAGTAATGTTAAGAAAGGAATAGTACTGAAACAGAAAGGCATGGTAACCTTCCACGATGTATTCCTGAAAATATGTTAATAAAAACGTCAATTATATTTATGTTTTTTTGTAATTCGGTAATTTAATCGATAGGAAAGCTTATAGGCCTTATCTAAATTAAAAGTAGTCATAGACATTAATTTTTTAGACTTTATGCAATTACTCAAGAAACTTGCAAAAACTTTTTTTTTTGAATTTATGTATGGAATAAAAAAAAACGATAGACTGTAAAAGCTTTTAACTCTAATATTAAAATAATATAAGAATTTGATGGTGACTCTTATGATCAGATAGATATGAAACCAAAGATAGGTGGTCGCCCTCTCCTTTGGTCAAGTGATGGTTGGTGATGAAGTGATCTGATATGTATGCGGTCACCCTCTCATGTGAAATCGGTTTAATGGAATACTGGCAGGATAAATATACGACACATAAGAATGGTGAGTCTCTGATATGTGTTAAGCTCAAGTTTCACTTTCTATATTTTATATATAAACCAAAATATCATGTTTTTGTTTTAATCGGTTTTTGTTTATAAATTAGTTTTCTCCAGTACTATGTTATCGTTATCATATAACTATTTTCGGATCTAAAATCAGATTTGTAGTTAGAAACATATTTTATTGTATTTTTATTAACAGTTACGTTATTTGGACTGTAGTTATAAACAGACGTGTGATGATATTAACTTTTGGCAGATACTAGGAGAAGAGGTGGAAAAGAGAGTGGAGAGAAGACTCCAGGAAATTGAATGGAAACTACTCTTTCCACCAGAAGCTTCGTTTTTCGAAGACTAACGAGTTCCATTGTATTGATTGACTTTCTTTTTATTCATTTTTTTCGTCGTCTTCCTCTTTAGTTTTAGATCTTTCAATAAACTAAACTGAGCACTGCTTTGTTGACAAAAAACGTATACATATGCAATACTTTTGAGCTTTGTATGATTCAGTCTGAATCAGTGGGCCATTTATTATCTAATTGAAATGTTACAAAAGTAGTATTTACAAAATATATATACAGACACAATTTTTAACTAGTATTATTTTCTTTTCTCCAACTTCATATTTATATGTTACGGTTCTTCTATTACAATCTTAATTAATCTATTTTAAACTATTTTATGATCAGCATCGAACACCACGTATTCAATTATTTCATCATAATGCTCATTACATAAATATGATACAAAAATATGATGCAAATTTTTTATAGAAGCGCTACACTATTTTGACTGGCTAAGTAAAAATTGTTAGATAGTTTCATACTTGTGAAAATCAATCCTCCACAATTAAGAATTACTAGTCCATTATTACTCAATTAAAGTGAGGGGTTTTCTTAGCTTTGATTTATCAAATTTTTGTTTTGGATGATGAATTATATTGTGGATATTTACAAAACTATAATTGGTACATCTAAGCTGATTTTTAAAATTTTTGATACGTGTGGTACACATATAACCACAGAGGCGGAGAGGCGGAGATAGTGAAGCCGGGACGGGATCATGTGCTCCATACTATTTTTATTTTTGTTTAGATAATTTTAATTAAGATATTTTTAATTTAATAATAAAAAAGAAAATATTCCTCTTAATTTTTTTTCTTTCTATTTATAAAAAGTATGCCTCCAACTAATTTTTTTCAAGATCCACCTGTATAACCACATCATAATTTAATAAATTTGAATAACACTGCATGTCAGACTCTTATAAAACCCATTCCACTTTTCAACTATCACATTGCTTCGTTGTACATATATGGGGACACAAATATATTCATTTGATCGAAAAGGTGCATTTTTAATTGAGATATATACTAAAAAAAAGTATTCAAACTTTATTATACACATAAACTTTTAAAATCATCAAAGAGGACCACGAATTTGTCACAGAATAATAAATACTATATAAACCTCACGGTCCTCATCTACCTAGTCAACATGAGAAAGAAAAAGAAAAATAATTCAAAGATATCTATAATTGCAGGTACCCAAAAATATTGTAGACAAATAATCTAATAATCATAAGAGAAAATTGTTGATTTTCAAAATTACTCTGCTTGATATTTTTCCAACACATTGAACAAGAATTTAGATAAACAAATATATAAAGAAGAGAGAGTCGAAGCAGAGTAAGATTACAGAAAACAGAGACAAAAATCTTCTAAAAACAGAAAGGAAGACTCAATTTTGGAGTTGGAGGAGAACGTAAGACTCTGAATAAGAGTTTTATTCACTTGAGAGGGATAATCCTGGAGGAGTTGGTAGCACTATGCAAACACCAGGCCTAGGCCTACCGTGCTGAATCGGTTTATATGAGATTGAGAACTCAATCATCTCTGGTTAATTTCCACTTAGTTAAAAGTCGTTCCATTGAATACACCGATGATGCTTCCAATCATTTCAGGCACAATAAGTTAATGACCATGTTCCTCAAGTGGGTTCTCACTGGTTCTGGCTTCTCACCCGCTGGTGCATCTCTCCTCTGCTCAAAACATAGAAAAGCCATAATCTTTTAGTGATTATAAAGCCATTTGATCATAAAGAACGAGCAAAAGTATATAGAGAAGCAATAATATATGCATAGAAATGGAGATACAATAACATCAGCACGAAAATGGGTACATTGATTATATCAAACAAAGATATACATGACGTTGAACTCGAAACATTCCTTAGTGTCATAGTGTGTAAAGCCATTTTGGTCGCAAAGATCAAAAACAAATTAAATGCATAGGGAAGAATGTATATGTGCATAGAGAAATGTATATCGAAATTAGCACAAAATTAAAACACTTTCCTAGAAGCAGATGTGGATACGTAAAAATTAAAAAAGATCTAATTAGTGACTAAGAGGGTTTTACCGCTTTGCGCAGTTTCTTGATCAAAGCCATTGGCTTTCTTGTCAATCCTCTAGAGAATCTATAAAAACAATTTGCATAAGAGTGACCGATCAGTCTCAGGAACAAAGTCACAGATGTACACAGAACCGGATCTGGGTCAAATCCAATAAAACATTTGTTTTAAGCTCCTCAAATTTTCAACTAAAATCCAATCCATAATTTTTTTTTTAATCCATAAAACCAAAAAATAATTTTTTTTCAACCAAATATTTAGGCACATTTCGACTCTAGTAAGACTCAGCAAAATAATTAAAAGAAAAATTTATAGAAAACAACTTTTTAAAGTCCACAATGACAATTAAAGTGAAAGAAATTTCTAAATTTTCTATATAAATAGAATATGTTGCTCTAGATTTTATAATTCGCACGGGCCTCCAAAAATAACCCACCTGAGATTTATCAAATTTGACAAAATCCAACAAGTATAATATTAGTTAGGCCGACGAGTCACAGAAGCTTTGGTTGGCAGTTTCTCAAATCGATTTATTTCAATTATTTCTATTTTAATCACAATCAAAATCTAGCAATGTCAGGTAGTATTTTTTAACAATAGAATTAAAAATTGAGATTCCTTCTTATTCTGTTTAGAGTTGGAATTTTGATTTTTTTTTTAACATGAAATTTCTAGGAATTTCAATACGAAAAACAAAGTGTAAATCAGGAGCTCAAAAGAAAAGAGAGAAGAGAAGAAAAGAAAATTCGGATAAGTCTCAAACAAATTCTATGTGGAAATTTGTTAAAAGATCAAAAGCTCTTCAAGTGGATGAGGGTGGTGAAGTTTGTGATGAAAATCCTACTGGTTTAGAGAATGATAAGGCAGAGGAAGAAGAGAAGATATCTGAAGAAGATGATTTGATCACTCAATAACAAGAGAGATTTTTGGATAGAAGTGATCCTGCAAGCTGGAAAATAATTGATCAGAGTTTGAAAGATTATCTAGTAAAAAAAGGTCCTATGAAAAGAGCATATGAGAATTACGTATTTTCAAAAAATGATGATGGTTGGCATTTTTCTTGCAAGTATTATAAAAGAGAGTTGAAAAATGGAGAGAAACAGGACAGGAATTGGCTACTTTATTCAAAAGTATCAGACCGAGCATATTGTTTTTGCTGCAAGTTGTTTGCTCGAGATCAAGATGCTAATCAGTTGTCAAGCAAGGGGTTCAATGATTGAAAGAATATCAGGATACGACTTACATGAAACAAGTCATTGCCATATTTTGTGTATGAGTCAGTGGATGGAATTAGAATTAAGACTAAAGAAGAATCAGACGATTGATAAGAGTCTCCAAGAAGAAATTAATAGAGACAAAACCCATTGGAGGGAGGTTTTGTTGAGAATATTTTCACTGGTGACAGCTCTTGCTAAACAAAATTTAGCTTTTGTGGGACTAATGAAAAGTTTGGTCAAAGAAACAATGGAAACTTTCTGAGTTTCGTTGAATCGTTTAGAGAGTTTGATCCAGTCATGCGAGAACATATCAGACATGTTAAAGAAGGTGAGACTCATTATCACTATTTAAGCCACACTATTCAGGATGAGTTGATTGTTATGCTAGGGTCTGAGGTCAAATCTATGATCATCAAAAAAATTCAAGAAGCCAAGTATTTCTCGGTTATTCTCGATTGCACTCCAGATATGAGTCATAAAGAACAAATGAGTCTTATTATCAGATGTGTGGATATCTCCATGTCT